CCCCCCCCCCCCCCCCCCCCCCCCCCCCCCCGCTTCTTTCTCCTACCCTCCCCAGCCGTGCTCCCTAGTGAAGGGCCTTCAAGCGATAGGTTTGTGATGTGTTGGTGAAAAATTACCGGTCGGATGATGATGAGCTGGAGCTCTTCGACGTGGAGCGTTTTCTTGGTGCCATGCTGCTGCTGCTGCTGCACGACCAACGATGCGATGCAAAATGTGAGCAAACTGCTACTGCTGCTGCTGCTGAAGATAACAACCAGGTACAGTACCAATCACCTGGCCAGGGCCAATCAATCCCCGCTGACCGACGGACTTGCTCCAAATACTTTTCTCATTTCTGCTCGTTTGGTAGGCCTTCCCTTTCTCAGCGGAATCGAAAGTGCCACGGTTCGGCCCAGTGCCGGATCTTGGATTTTTTTCGAGGCAAGGCAAAAACTTGAAATTTCCCTCCATCCACCCTCAAGTCTCTCAATCAAGATCTTCTTTTTGTCAATAAACTCGAGCATACTTGGGTCCCGCTGCCATCGAGGTCAAAAGCAAGTGAGCACGTTCATACAAATGCCTTGAAGAGCCTGTTTGCTCCTCCAGCTGCCCTTTGAAGTTGCCGCCCGGGGCTGGGGTTCCCCCTCCAGATCCGGCACTGTTGGCAATCCGAAGGATCAAATTTTCAATAATATCTAGCGCCCCACACCGGTCAGACTATTTTCGACCGTGTTTGGCTTCCGTCTCGGGTCACCCCCGTCCCGTTCTTGCCCCAGGTCCTTCCGCCCCGCGCTCGGTCACCTTGCGCTCCACGACTTGACCATCACCACCTTGCATTCCACGTCTCAAGTATGCACCAGCCACTTCCATAACACAAAGCCAAAAACCAAAACACAAAGTCTAACGCCTGAAAAAAAAAGCACCACAAAATCCCCGCACTGACTACAACTCCACCCCTTCCCCGCACACACACACACACACACACACCGGAACCGGCCGCACACCGCACGCACGCCACCAATACGCGCAGTCACCATCAATCGATTGAAGTATTCCTTGGAAGAACTTGTTTTCCACGGGGCTGCGACACGC